CACTAGAGGCACAGAGGCTCACACACAGAGGGGAGATGGCCATGTGACAACGGAGGGGAGAGCTAGGAGCCACGGAATTCCAAGAACTGACAACAAACACCAGAAAATAAGCAGCAAGGCAGAATTCTGTCTTAGGGCCTTCAGAGGGAGCGTGGCCCTGCTGCCATCTTTTTTTTTTTTTTTTTTCCTGCTGCCATCTTTACTGCAGACTTCTAGCCTCCAGAACTGTGCGGAAATAAATTTGTTTTAAGCAAAAAAAAAAATTAAAAAAAAAATTCCGGCCTCCTCAGCCCCCTGGTTGCTCCCTGGGGACCGAGTCTGGCTCCTAGACCGGCTCAGCACCCCACGCTCCCAATCCCTCTACTCACGTCGGAGCCCTGGGGCCTGGCCCGCCCCGCCGCCCCCACCGGACACAGGAATTCCGGTTCCCAGGCCTCTTCCTCAGGACCCAGGAGTCCCGGCCCCCAACATGCCTGTCTCATTACCCAGAGGTCCAAGCTCCCTCCTCCTTCACGACCGAAAGTCTGAGCCCTCGCCCCCAGCCCGCGGAGACCCGTGCGTTCCCGTCCCTCACTCACCGGATGCGGGCTGCGCGTCACCTCGGGGGCAAAAGCGCCGGCTTGGGCTGCCAGGAGCATTCGCGGGTCCGGACGGCTCGGGAGGCCAGCGCTTTCATCTCGCCCTGCGGCGTCGGGCTCGGCGCTCAAACTGTCTCCGGTCGCTGCAAGCGCGGTCGCGACAAACGGGCGCGGGGTCTCGCGGAGCGGCGGGGTCTCGCGGAGCGGCGGGGTCTCGCGGCGTGGCGCAGGAAATCAACAACTGACCTGGGAAGGGAGCCAATGAGTGTGCGCCACCGCCCGCGAGGCCTTTTATAGTCTTGCGCCACCGGACGTGCTGACGTCTCGAAAAGGGGCGGGGCTTCGAAACGGGGAAAAAAAAAGCAGAGAAACAGGAAGGGAAAGAAGGTTGGAATTCTCGCGGGGATTCCCGGCTGTGCGTCGTCACCGCGGCATTTTCAGCGTGACCACGCCCCGACACGAGCCAGCTGTCAATCAAATGAGTCACGGGCTCCAGCCGTGAAGGAGCTCTCTGACCCCAATTGAACCCGCAGGCCCCAGTCTAGAGTCTCCCACCTTCGCATCCGGTGGGCTTCCTCCCCTGAATGGGAGAGTATTCTTGTTTTGGGAGAGTATTCTTGTTTTTTGTTTGTTTGTTTTTAATATATTTTTTATTGATTTCAGAGTGGAAAGGAGGGGGGGGGGGAGAGAGAGATAGAAACATCAATGATGAGAGAGAAGCATTGATCGGCCCGCCTCCTGCACGCCCCCCACTGGGGATCGAGCCCGCAACCCAGGCATGGGCCCTTGACTGGAATTGAACCTGGGACCCTTCAGTCCGTAGGCCAACGCTTTAGCCACGGAGCCAAACCAGCTAGGGCAGTAGTCTTGTTTTTAATTTCGCAGATGAAGAAACTGAGTCTTGGGAATGGAGTGCGCCTGCCCAAGGTGGCCACAGCAGAGTGTAGATTCGCAGCAAATGAAAACTAGAATGTAAGCATCCTGAAGGTAGATCCTTTATTTTGCTCACTGCTTTCTTCCCAGTGCCTGGCACATAGTAGGTACTCAACCAATATTTAGTGAGTGGACACCCCTTCCCGGTTTCATGCACAAGGCTCCATGCCTGGATTTCACCCGCTTCAAAAATCATCCAAGAGCTCTGATTACACAAACTGAAATTCTGGTTGGGTGGCATCGAAGGAACCTGATGGGAGCGGGGGTCTTCTGCCAAAAGTTCCAGGCCTAGGGCCTGCCAGTGGTCGGCAAACTTGCGGCTCGGCAAACCGCAGCTCACGAGCCACATGCGGCTCTTTGGCCCCTTGAGTGTGGCGGTATTTTGTGGAAGACCCACACTCAAGGGGCCAAAGAGCCCCATGTGGCTCGAGAGCCACGGCTTGCCGACCACGGGCCTAACCCAATCCCCCTGGGAGGTGAGTAAACCGGGACCAGCAGAATAGGGAAACTGAGGCACTCAGATAGCAGCCACCTTGTAAATCCTATCTTCCCTAAACCAAGGACACTTAAAAGAATAAGTGGGGCCCTAACCGGTTTGGCTCAGTGGATAGAGCGTCGGCCTACAGACTGAAGGGTCCCAGGTTCGATTCTTGTCAAGGGCATGTACCTTGGTTGCAGGCACATCCCCAGTAGGGAGTGTGCAGGAGGCAGCTGATCGATGTTTCTAACTCTATCCCTTTCCCTTCCTTTCTGTAAAAAATCAATGAAATATATTAAAAGAAAAAGAGTAGGTGGGACAGGCAGAAATCCAATCAGTGCCATTTGCCAACCACACCCAAAGACAGATGAGATTAAGATAATAAATCTGCTGTACCAACTGCAGCATAAAGCTGATGATTATTCTATTGGAATCCTCCCCTAAGTCCCCCCCTAAACACCCAGCCTTTAAAACCCCTCGAAACAAAGGTCCCGATACTGCCAGAGCCAACTCGTGGCTGAAATGCCAGCTTGGAGGGAGGCACGTGTTTCCGACCGACCTGTTCTCATCAGCACCGCTTATGCACCCGGCAGCTCATTCAGTCTGTGGTATAAGCATTTCATTGGCTCATCTGCTCCAGTTAGAATTGTTAACCCCACCCGCAAACTGAGTTTCCCCCGTTTTCTCTTTCATAATTCATAGCAAAACTTATATTAAAGGTCAGGTACCGTTTCCTGCGTGAAGGGGAATTACCACAGCAGCACGGTGAATGTGCTAGAGCTCACATGTATCCTGTGTGGGTTTTCCAGTCTGAACAGCAGCACGAGGTGTCTTCTGGTTAAGAGTTTAGTATTGTTGCTGGGAGCAGTCAACTGAGTAAACATGAGGGAGGTTTCACAGAAGGGTCACCACTGGACTTAGGGGCCACATTGTGTCTTGTGGGATAAAATGTTGATGTAAACAAAGACACCGCCCGACAAATGTTGGGGTGATGTCACATTGGAGCAACTAGTACAGTTGGGGGCAGCGGGAAGGGCACGGTGTTAGACCTCTGGGGTCAGGCCATAGTTGGGTTCGGCGACCTTGGTTCTTGGGTTCTGGCTACGAGAGAATTCAGAGCCAAGACTCAAACTGTAAGAGAATATTTATTTATAAAATCATGGAGGTGGCCCCAGCCGGTTTGGCTCCGTGGATAGAGCGTCGGCCTGCGAACTGAAAGGTCCCAGGTTCGATTCTGGTCAAGGGCACATGCCTGGGTTGTAGACTAGTTCCTGGGTAGGAGGTGCAGGAGGCAGCCGATCCACCATGATTCTCTCTCATCATGGATGTTTCTGTCTCTCTCTCCTTCTTCCTTCCTCTCTGAAATCAATACAAATATATTTTTAAAAAAATCATGAAGGTGGAAGAAGTATTTCGTAGAAGAAATAGGCTTAGGAGACAAGTTGTAGAGGTAAAGGAAGGGCCCTTGGAGCTTAGAAGTGAGGAAGATAAAGTTGACACCCTGGGTAGCGGGGTGAGGGAGGCAAAGGAGTGCTCCTGGGAGGGAGAGCCCTCGAGCCCTCGGGGTCCTCTGTCCTAAGGGTTTTAAGGGTGGAGATTTCAGGGGAGGTACCAGGGGGAAACACACACACACACACACACACACACACACACACACACACACACAAAGGTCCTAGCAAGTGCTCTCCTTCCAGAAGCACCCCCTCGCCTTCCCCTCCCACCCCTTCTCCCCCTACAGGCCTGCATCCCCTAAACTCTAAGGGACCCCAGGAGGCTTGCAACCATGGCAGCAATGGGCAGCGGCAGCTCATCCTGGGCCAACCCCCTGACCCTGTCCCCCAACCCCCCCTTTCTCTGACTTCTTAGTGAGCCAAAGCAGCCCAGCCCAGCTCATTTCCCTAGCCCTTCCGTGTTTCACTGTCCCCAGCGTCCACAAAAAGCATCTAAAATTCACCTGGCTTCTTGTTGTGAATTTTTTCCTGCAGGAAGTCAAAAACCCACACACTACCACCGGCCCTAGGCAGACCCTCTCAGGGCCAGGTCCCCTTTCCGGTAACACCCCTCCCTACCTGGTCCATCATTTTGCTCCTCAAAATATGCCCAGGAACCGTGTCTCCCTCCTGAGGGGGTCAGTCTTAGCCCGGAGCAGAATTCTCACCTGGATCAGAGGTGGATCTCTGACCCGCTATAGCCAGAATCAACTTGACCCTGCTAGAGCCAGAATCCAGGACTTCAAGGCCACTCCCGCCTCCCAGGAGGACGGGGACCCACCCTCAGAGCCACACTTCCTGACCCAGGCTCCACTCACAACTCAGGAGTCCTGCGTCCTAGCTCACACCTTTCCAGGCACCCAGGGCTCTGAAACACCACCCCTCCCAAGAGCCAAGCCATCTCCATTCTGGGGACCCATATCTCAGGCTCCTGACCCCAACCAGCCGGTGGAGATCCTGGCCTTGAGGCTCAGCTCCTCCTCTCCACAAACCTTTGGGACGACCAGCCTCAGCCCTTAGGGGACCCGGGCTCTCCAGGCCCCAGCCCAGCAGGGAGCCAGGAGTCAGGGGTGGCCCAGCTCCTCCCCTCAGCTGTGGGGGCAGCTGAGCCAGGGGTCAGGCTGTGGTGGGGAGGCCAAGAGGGGCGGGGTCAGCGGGGATTGGGAGGGGAGACAGCAGCGTGGGCGGCTGGAGGGAGGGAAAGACCAGCAGAGAGAAGGAAACTGGGAGAGGGAAGAAGAGAAAGTGAAAAGGAGAAGCAGGGAGAGGAGGAAACAGCAGAAGTAGAGGGCTAGAGAGAGAGAGAAAGAGAGAGAGAAAGAGGGAGAGATTGAATGGGAGGGGAAGAGAGAGACTTGGGCTAGACAGAGAGGGAGAGAGGGAAAGAACAAGATAGAGACTTAAGAAACAGACTGGAATCCCAGAGGAAAAGATTTAGACAGAAACAGAAACAAGGATTGGGAGAGAAAGTGATATGGGTGTGTGTGTGTGAGAGAGGGAGGGAGGGAGGGAGGGAGAGAGAAATGAGTAAGAGACGGGAAGAGACAGAGATCAGAGAGGGAGAGAGACAGAGGTGAGACGGGGAGACAGGGGACAGTCTGAAAGAAAGGGAGAGCGAGAAGAAGAGGCCATAAGAGACCCAGAGGGTGTGTGAGAGCAGAGAAGTGAGACAGGCCGATGAGGGGCAGCCCCTGACGGGCACTGGACGGAGCACCCACACCGCCCTCTTGCCCCCTGTCCTTGGGACCCGGAGCTGGTAAGTTCCCTGGCTGGGCTGAAAGGGGTGCACATTCCTGGTGCCCCAGGGCTTGGCAGGGATGGTTTGGGGTGCCTGTGGGAGGGGCGAAGGGGTGCAGGAGACAGTAGCTGGAGGAAGCCGGAAAGAGGGGTCCCTAAGCACAGAGAGGGGAGAGGGTCAAATTCCTGGCCATTGAGCGCGCGTGGGGGTGGGGGGTGGGGGTGGGGGGTGCCAAGAATAAAGGAGCCCCTATTCTCTGTCTTGGGCCACAGACAGCTGCCCCCTCCCCGCAGCTGCCAGTGCCGCCCACCTCTCTCTTGGCATCACCCTCGGTATGCGGGCCCAGGCCGGGCCTCGCCCAGCCCCCCGGCCCCCAAACAACAGGCTCTTTCTCCGCAGCCTCCTCCGACCTGCGAGCCCCTGACCTCGGCTCTGTCCCCAGCCGGGTTAGCTGCAGGGACGCGCACACAGTCCCTTTCTTTCTCGCCCTCGATGGAGGAGGGCCGGCCTCGGAGCAGCCTCAGCCTGGCCAGCAGCGCCTCTACCATCTCGTCGCTCAGTAGCCTGAGCACCAAGGTGGGAGCTTCCTGGGGGGCCCGGGGAGGAGGGCGGGGCTCGGGGCTGCCCCCTCCTCCGGTTTCCTAGCCCTGGGTGGGGTCCACCCCAGGGACTCCGGTCGTCAAGAGCAAAGATCCTTAGCAACAGGGTCTGCCAGGCCTGGTTGGGGCCCGCACTGACCACCCGCTGCAGCTAGGAATTCCGACGCACTTGCAGCCGTCCCCACCCCTTGCATTTTCCTGATTCAAAGCCAGCGGCACCGCCGGATCAAGTCTGGCTGCTAAGACAGGCCACGCCCCAGCCACGAGCCACGCCCCCCAGGAGCTCGGATGCAGTGGCGGCTCAGTGGCTCCTGAGCTCCCTGCCCAATCTCTAGCCATCCATGCGCCCAGGGCTGAAATCCGACAAGGACAGACCTTTCTCTGACCATCAGGCCCCATGAGGCCCAAGATACTTGCATCCCACCAGGTCGCCCAGCCCAGCGTTCGGTGACACCGGGTTCCCTTGTCCTCCCGCCATTCCCCTCCCTCATTCCCAGTTTCCCAAGTTCCGAGTCCATAGATTCGAACCTGACCTTGCTCAGCACCATCCCTGAGGGCAGCTGTGGGAATGCGGCCGTGGAGGCCTGAGACCCTGTGTGCACAGGAGAGAGGGGCTCTGTCTGTTGGGATGGAGCAGTGGTCGGCACACTGCGGCTCGCGAGCCAGACGCGGCTCTTTGGCCCCTTGAGTGTGGCTCTTCCACAAAATCCCGACTTCTGCGCATGGGCCACGAAGTTTCAATCGCACTGTGCATGCGCGCCCGCACGTGGTATTGTGTGGAAGAGCCACGCTCAAGGGGGCCAAAGAGCCGCATGTGGCTCGCGAGCCGCAGTTTGCCGACCACTGGGATGGAGTGATTCGGGGGCCGCTCCACCCCCGGTCGTGGATGCTAAGCGATGCCTCTCTCTGGACCTGAGCGTCCTTTGATTCTGACTCATCCCATGGAGCCTCCTAATTATGGAGACTTCCCTGGGAAACTTCCAGGTCAGATCTCAAAGGTTGCCCCACATTCTCCGGCTCTGGTGGCTCAGGGCATCTCATCTTTGACGTTGGAATCTGTCGCTCCCAAATTTC